GCTGCCTTGGAGGCTGCTTCCTCCACCATGAAAGATGAGCTGCTGAAGGCTCACTCTGAGGTGGAAATTTTGAAGGCCGAGGTGGAGACCAAGGCCGAGCTGCTGAAGAAGGAAGAGGACAGACGCAAGGCCCAGCTCCGAGCTGCCCATGCTATCACCAGGGGCTTGGAGAAGGAGAAGTTCCAACTCCTGAAGGAGAAGGACGACATGCTCTAGGCGCTTGAAGCGAAGGATGAGGAGCTGAAGCATGCGACTGCCGAGCTGGAGACGGCGAAGGAGCGTCTCAGCAATGGAGTCATATTGGAGGAATCGTTTAGGCAACATCCTGACTTCGATGGATTTGCCAAAGACTTCTCTGACGCGGGCTTCAAGTTCCTCATGAAGGGCATTGCTTCCGACATGCCTGACCTTCAGATCGATCTCAGTGGTCTGAAAAAGTGGTATGCCGAGCAGTGGGCGTCTGGGCCTGGCGGCACCCCTGGCCCCCAAGCGTTGGTGGATAAGTATGTCAGAGATCTGGACTCTGACTACTCCGATCTCGAAGAGGACCAGGTCGGCACCACTCAAGAGGGCGCTCCTCAGGCAGGCTCTTAGGCGATCATCTTTCATGAGGCCTTTCTCTGTCTTTCTTCTCTTCTCCTTTGTTTGTAAGTGTCAGGGCAGAGCTGCAAGGTCTATAAGCCTTGGTTCTGCTCTCCATTCAATAAAGAAGCTCCCATTTGTTTTTACTTTGTTGCATTCCTTTCTTTGCTTTTTCTTTAAGCTAAAGCCAATGTCACCTCACACCTCGTACTTTTGAGGTCGCGCCTTCAAAAATACTTGAAATTTTGAATTCGAATCTCTGTCTAGTATTCAATACATTGTACCAACTCTGGATTTYTTAAMATCGCACCCTCAACKTAAAAAACGTTAAAAGGCTAAAATCCTAAGTCYGTAGCTGTTCTTCATATCGCACCTCGTACCCTCAAGTTCAAAGGCTTGATCATTTTGAACTTTTCACATCGCCCCTTTACCTTGAAGGTTTGAATGTTAAGTTCGTCAGTGGTTTTGGCATCGCACCTCGTACCCTTAGGTTTTGGAGGATTGGATTTTAACCGATTGYTGGAATGTGACCGTGTGGGAGTCCGTGGCCCCCATTTAATTTCTGRTCGAACTCGGAATCATGAAATTAAATCATCACATTTCCGATTGAAAMAGTTTTTAYAGATCCATTGAAAACCATTTCGGCATTTCAAGGATAATAACGCTTCAGGTGCTCCGCGTTCCATGGGTGCGCGAGGACGTCTCCTTTCAGATCGGCCAACATGTACGTCCCAGGTTGGACTATTCCCTTGACTTCAAACGGCCCCTCCCAGGTCGGGTCAAGGGCACCCACATGGGTTTGGACCCTCCTTAAGACCAGATGTCCGACCTGGAAGGTCCGAGGTCGAACGCGGGCGTTGTAATGTCTGGCCATTCTGCCCTGATATTCCGCCAGGCGTAGCTGGGCCATTGCTCTTCTTTCTTCCAACAAGTCGAGGTTGAGGAGCAGCTTTCCTCATTTGCTGTAGGCTTGTAATGCTCTACTCTGTCAGATGGCATGCCGATCTCAACCGGGATTACAGCTTCGTAGCCGAAGGCCAAAGAGAACGGGGTCTCACCCGTCGATTCTCTTTGGGTGGTCCGGTACGACCATAGAACCTCTGATAGCTCCTCGGCCCACCTGCCTTTCTTGGAGTCCAGTCTAAGTTTGATGCCTCGCTTGATGATCTTGTTGACTGCCTCCACCTGCCCATTTACTTGCRGATGTGCGGGGGACGAGCTAAGGTGACTTATGCCAAGCTTGCTGCAAAAGTCTTTGAACTTGGCGTTGTCAAACTGCTTCCCATTGTCTGTCACAATGGCCTGCGGTATACCAAAGCGACATA